CTAAAGGGCTAATACTTCCCTCTGTGAAGCCCGAAGTCAGCTAAATGGCTAATGGTAACTATCAAAATGCCTGCCACTTGAAATAAATATATATATAAATTTTCTGAAAGTCTGGCACCCAGTGTTACCATTTCACTAAAATCCCATGTCTTTAGTAAGCTGCAAGGGAGACTGCAATTACTCGTATCAGACACCTTCTCTTATGGAGATAGACAAAGGAGCCAGAAGTCCGTGGAAACACGGTTATAATTTGCCTCTACTATAGAAACCAGGGAATGCCAACCAGGTTCCAAATACCACAAGTTCGACGCAAGTAATTCTGGCTGAACCCGGCCATTTCTTCAATTATTCCTTCCACGCAATTCTGAACTTGTATTCTGTGTTGACATCGGTTTTGACCTAATTTAGGACTTAGTCGTGAATTCCCAGTTATCTTCCCCATTGCTAAAGTTAAAAACCCACTAGTGTTGCCGTCGTTCCCTGTAAATTTCATTTGCTTGCCAACCTCAAGGATCTCACTTGACATGACTGTGCTACAGCTACTTCTGCTAAATGCTTAACTCCTTTTCTTTTCCTTTTTCGAGCTTATTATCAGATACCACTGACTAAATTGAATATTGGCAATAGAAGCGTAATCAAGCCATTCGGCTTTATGGAGTATTTGCGCATGTGCTTTGGTCACCGTAACGTGACAAATCATTTCAAAGACCTGTGCACCACTTATCTCTTGGTCTAGATTGCGTCGTTCAAGGTGTTGACGACATTCTCTTTGCCAGCTTCAAACTTTAGGAGCACAAACAATAACTACAGGCAAATATTTGTTGAACGTCTTGTGCAATGTAGGAACCTCGTTAACCCTGAGAAGTGAACATATGGTTGAACGAAAATCGATTTCCTCGGTTACCCTGTTGATATATACGGTATTTCACCCTTGCCTGAGAAAACTTCCTCTAACATGGACTACCTTAATTACAATCAAAAACAACCATTGTCGTTTCCCAGGCAAGATGAACTATTGTGGAAGACTCATTGCAGATTGTGTTAAAATCCCGCAGTCTTGCATAGATCTATTTAAATGTATCTTGGAGAGCATTATTATGAACTCAGAATCAGCGTTTGATGCAACCACGTTAAATCATCTCCTGGTTTCTAGTGGAATTCGAGTAATTCTAAAGACGGATGCATCTCAAAGTGTTCCTTCTTCACGAGAAAGTTAACGTGTACCATGACAAGATGCTGTATATTTGGAAATGTACCGCACACTATCTATTTAGCAGGCAAGCACTTTTTACAATCCACTCACAAATTCTCTATCTAGACTGACCACAAACCACTAATTTAAGGTAATCGAGCATCGGTCCTTCCATTAGTCTCAGAGGGTAATTCATAATTTAAAATCGATTTTTCAATTCACCTATGATATTCGTTATTTTGGCCATTTTAGTAATTTTGTTGTCGATGCAGTGTCTCGAATGGAACTAACTGAAATCGCTGATATAGTTTTTACATTCGTATATCTCGGCTGTTTTGGGTGGCTCTCTGTTTCCAATTGAGTTTATTGAGCTGTTTGGGTATCTCTGTTTCCACATTAGTTTATTGCTGACTGTGAGTCCGAAAGTATCACTCTCTCTGTTTCCAATAGAGTTTTTCCTGACTGTGAGTCCGAAAGTATCACCGCTTTGGTAAATGCTGACTGTGAGTCCGAAAGTATCACCGCGTTGGTGAATTTTGTATCCAGGCAACATAATTGGCTTAATGTTATCCTAATGACCTCTTTATCCCCTTCGAAAGTAGATCTATTGTGTCCCTCTGCTGTGTAGAAAGAGAAGAGTTCAGAATNTCGTATATCTCGGCTGTTTTGGGTGGCTCTCTGTTTCCAATTGAGTTTATTGCTGACTGTGAGTCCGAAAATATTACTGCTTCGGTGAATTTCGTATCCAGGTATTACAATTAGCCTAGTGATATCTTAATGGCCCCTATTTTTCCTTCGAATGTAGATCTATTGTGTTCCGCTGCTGAAAAGAGGGAGAATAGTTCAGAATAAACAACTGTACCATCGTTTGCTTGGTTTTCTATGTATGACCCATCAGTGAAGCCTTGGAGCCATTGATCTATTGGTTAGTTTACATTGGTTACCTCAAGGGCCAA